CACTCTTTCTCTGGAAGAGAGCTGGAGGTGCATAACTGACCAGATCGCATTCTTTCTCCAGTAGGTCATCAAAGACATTTTTACATTATGCAGTCAGTACAATCTGTTTTTAGAGTGTGGTTAGGATGTGTGATTTCCAACATGGTTGATATGTCTTGCCATGTCCCCACAGCATTGCGTCTTTCAGATGAAATCATGTAATCGTTTTTTATTTTATTTGTATAGAGAATGAGAGACGATTTGTCCTCCTTTTCCTTGCTTTAAAACACAACTTATATGTGGTTGGAGTATGTTTTGTGCATGACATCATTGCAGATTGCATATAGGCTTTTCATTTTCCTTGGGCGTGAAAGATAAGACTTAATTGTGCTATACATTTCTTTCGGCTCCTTTATGCTTGTACGTTTCCTTCCAGACAGATTTAGATGTCTCTGGGGTGAAGTTGCACTAGAGTTGCACTTTAAAGAATGTTTAGGAACGAATGAACCTTTCACCCTTTGCCCTCATCCGGTCAGATGATTTTCCAAGCCATCAGACCCGTCTGATTTAATTGTTTTGTAACGTGATACAGTATCATGACATAATGTTGATAGAATGACATGTTATTCTGTCATTCTTTGCACTGTTAGCGACGGCATGTTTGCAAGACAGAACACGAAGCATTTGCTGTCTTCGTTTTACACTTTTTTTCGCTCGCTGTTATTTTCTCTCAGAGTTGTTTACATTGGTGACTGTGTGATTTGGTACAGCAGGAAGTCATAAGAGAACAATGAGGAGACGAGGAACAGGATGTCAGAGCGATGTGTCTGTGTGTATGTGTGTGCCTGGAAGGGGGGCTATTTACCTGCTGGAGACACAGCTCTAATCGGCTCCTGAGATGAGAACACACGTAAACGCACACTAACTAATGCACAACGTTTGTCTGCTTTCATGTCAAACAGTCATTTGCTATAGAATAAACAGGGCTTGTGCGTGTTTATGCTTATTTGTGTTAAATAGTGTCAGTTTTCATATGTTTTCATATGCCAAAAAGTCTCCTGAGCTTTGAAAGGTCAATCTCTGAGAATTCAGATTTCATTTGGAGATTTAGAGAGAGTCGGTATGAATTAACAGGCAGAGTCGAACAGCTTAACCGCCACACTAACTTTCCTTCATTCTCCCTGTCAGATCTGCTCTGATTATCTATATCAGTGATCCTCAAATCTGGCTCGCGAGATCCACTTTCCTGCAGAGTTTAGCTCCAGCCCTAATCAAACAAACCTACCTGTGATTTTCTAATGATCCTGAAGACATTGATTAGCAAACTCAGGTGTGTTTGATTAGGGTTAGAGCTAAACTCTTCAGGAAAGTGGATCTCGCGAGCCAGATTTGAGGATCACTGATCTAAGTGATAACAAAAAATAAAAATACTCATATTAGCGGTGAAATGTTGCCCGATTATGTCAAACGTCATAAGCTCACTGGATGTCATGACAACAAATGTCATGATAGAAAAGTTTCAATGGCCGTTTCTCAATATGCGTTCTTATGCGATCTTGCGTCCTTGTGTTCTCGCTCTACGTCATCATTAACTGAACGCAAGTACAGAGGACGCATGAAAGTGCCCTGATGTGTTCTTGAAATCGAGGATGCATCGAATGCAGACTTAAGAGAATCGAACCGTTAGAAATTACAGAAGACGCTGCGGGCGGACGACGTACAGAAGCCTGTAAACTTTAAACTTCTCGTTCTCGCTTAACAGATTACCGCTGCAGCTCGCAAATACGTGACGGCTTGTTAAAGTAAACATTTGTCATTTTGTTTTGCATAATTTTTAAGAAGTGAGAAAGCATATTAAAAAGAATTTTAACATTGGCAATGAAATATGTAACATTATAAATAGCCTAATCATTTTTTCAAATACATTAGGTAAAAAGCTATTGCATAATATGAAAATATTGTCTATAATAAAATGAATACTTTTATTAAAAGTGTTATGACATTCGTTTGTGACGTTATGTATTATTTATTTAGCATTGTGTTGTTATGGAAGGAAGGATACGAGAAGGCAGGGTCGGATCCAAGTGCAGCTCTAATGTCACAGCAAAGTCAAACAAAGGCAGTAGGTCAAAACACAGGAACAGACAGATTAGACTCAGGAATCGCTAGGCAAGGAGCAGTAGCGAACAGACAGACAATCATCAACATAATCAATACTTCGCAGTGAGTGTGTGTGTGAGAGCAACCTTTATAGTGCTCCGCACAGACAACAGGTGTCTGTGTGTAATTAGTTCCAGTTGCTGGGCTTGTGGGAAATGCAGTCCATAGTGAGAGCTGACTGATATCGTGACGTGTGCTGCTGTCTCGCTCCTTATAACGCACTGGCTGTCAGTTGAGCAGCAGGAACACAGCGCATCTCAATTCTCACAAGTATGCGCTCTGTGTTCTCGTCTCCACGAGAACACAAGACCGTTCTCTGCGTTCTTGGAATTGAGAAACAGCCAATATCTCGCCTTCGCTTTCATTTCGGACCATCTCCAAAAAGACATTAAAAAAAACTAAACAAATGATTTACAAGTTTAACATGCGTTTATCAAAGTAGGAAATAATTAGTGCTCTTGAAATACGAAATGGAGGCGGGCCCGGACTGAATTCCCTCCGGGTCCGGATCCGGACCGGAGTCAGGAATTTGAGAAGCACTGCTCTAGGAGAGCTATACATCAATTCTATGCAGTGATGCCGCCGGGTTCTCTGGGCCAAAGCTCATCTCAGATAATCAAAAAGACAGTGAAAATGTGTGCTGTACTCAGATGAGTCCACATTTCAACTTGTTTCTGAGAAAAATGGATTTCGAGCTCTCAGTCCCAAAGACCAAAGGGACCATCCAGACTTTTTCATCAGTGACAGATGCAAAAGCAAATATCTGTCATGGTATATGAGTGCATCAGTGCAAACGGCATGGGTGACTTGCATTTGTGTGAAGGTACCATTGACATGGAGGCATTGCCGTCAAGATGATGTCTTTCATGGGAAGTCCATGGTTATTAGATCAAGACAATGCCAGCTCTCATTCTGCATGTGCTACAACAGCATGGTTTTGTAGACTCAGAGTGAATGTGCTAGACTGGCCTGCCTGAAGTCCAGATCTGACTCCTATTGAAAATGTATGACCAGTCATGAAAAGGAGAATCAGACAACGACAATCACAGACTGCTGAGCATCTGAAGCCTTGTTTCAAGAGAGACTGGACAAAAATTGTGCTTGCAAAACTTTAACAATTAGTATCCTTAATTCCCAAACAATGGAACATTGTAATTAAAAGGAAAGTTGATGTGACAGTGTTAAACATGCCTCTGTCCCAACTTTTTTGGAGTGTGTTGCAGCCATCAAAATCAAAATTTGTAATCAAAATGTGTTCATATTTATAAAATACATTTACGTTGGTCAGTGAAAACTTTGGAAATGTTTTCTATGTACTTTTGTCAATTAAATAAAAGTTAAAGAGAATGAACAAATCACAGACTCTCGATTTTATTGCATTTTACAAAATGTCCCAACTTCTCTGGAATTGGTGTTGTAGATTTTTTTTGTCTTGAAGCTTGGAAACACTGAAAGCTTCATTACTAGAAAACTTCCTTGTGTGTGCATGGAATTCTGATTCTGATCTGTGTTCTTACAGAATATTTTTCAAAGTGATTGGTATACGATGCAGCTGAACACAGTGATGCAAGAGATGTTCAGAGATATTAATGGAGTAATATACTTAGATGTCTGGCAGATGACTTCCTGTCACTATCTACGTGAAAGTATTCACCCAGGACCTGTTATCGTTGCTAATGAGGTCAAAACATTTCTGTCATATGTCTGTCCTGTATGATTCATCATTTAGTATCACACAGCCCCAAAGAAAAACATGCATCTTGCTTTGTCATCATCTACAATGTACATACAATAAGACAATGTACATAAAACCAGATTGAATGAAATGCTAACAAATAGCCTTAAAAATAATGGACAATGTATCGTTTAAAATGAATTGCATTAGAAAAGTACCATAAACCTACTTGAACATACTAATTTGTAAATAAAGAGATCATGTTATAACTGCTTTGTCTGTCTCCATTAATTTATGGATTTTTTTTGTAAAATAAAAACCTAAAATTGTAATTATATTTATTGTTTTCAGCATACCACAAACAGTTTTCAGTATTGCAGGACAAATATGATCATTTGTATGAAGTAGATAACGGTTTTCATTACCGCCGTGATACTGCTGTGTTCAATTTACCAAACTAGTGCAACAGTTAAAATCTGGGTTAACCCCATATACTGACATGACTAGTGTCGAGATCCACACACAGGTAAAGTACACAGCACAGATTTATTAGGCAAATGATGAATTTTTGTAAGAAAAATCATATTTAAAACGTAATAATCAGTTTAATCTAGCTTGCGTTCACTGTTGTACACAGTACAAATTAGAAGTACAAAACGAGGATTTGTAAAGCAGAATGTCGGAGGATTTTGATATAAGCCAAGAGGAGACTGGTTTTCCTTTGCTAAAATAAGGAAACTTTGCTTCCTTTGCTCCTGTAAACAAACGTTGGTTTTCACGAGACTCACTGGCGCATGCACAACGCCGACATCTTACGACATCCGCCCGGAGCTGCTACCGTGTACAACTGTTGGCGCAAGCTAGATTAAAGTGATTATTACATTTTGAATATGGATATTTTTCTTACAAAAACACATCGATTGGCTACAGGAGGCCTTTGTTTGAGGCCTTGAGACACTTTTTATTATGGATGCATGCACTTTATTTAACTTCTTTTGGACTGATGAACTGCAACACCCGCTGACTGCCATTAAACAGCTTGGAAGATAAAGACAATTTTTAATATAACTCTGATTGGATTCATCTGAAAGAAGGAAGTCATATACACCTAGGATGGCTTGAGGGTGAGTAAATAATGGGCTAATTTTTATTTTTGGGTGATCTATCCCTTTAAGAGTTATTTTCCTTGCAGGTGAATGGTGATCAGACAGACGGGACTTGAAGACAGACGTCGAAGCAGACAGACAGATGGGAGGTAAGTATCCACACTGAGGTGAGTCAGGTATGTAGCTCTAAGGGAACAATGAAACCAGACAATGTGGATGTGAGGAGTAGCTGCTTATATAGAGGGTATGCATTGACATCACTTTCCCATCAGAACACTCCCCCTCAGCTGGACTGAGTGGCAAAAGAGCCTACCGCATGAATGGATGTAATACTGCGCAAATGCGAATAAAACAAATGATTATCAGTTTAAACTAAAGGTCGTTGAACTCGATATAGTGTTATTTACAACTTACCAAATATCCAGTGCTCCATAGATATTGACATGCAGCCAGGAATCGTGTTTCCTGACATTTATATGTGCTTGATTTCGACGCCGGGGAAATACATAAAGCAAATCTGCCTGTGAACGCTTTATGTAAATACAAAATACAAAATAGGTTGGTCTAAATCCGGGTGATCACTTATATCACTTATATATATTGTCATATCGTCCAGTCCAAAAACGTATATAGTTTTTGTCAGTGTTTATTTAAAAACATCCAGTTATGCAGAATATAAGTTGGTAAATATTTAATTGATGAGTTGTCAATACAATATATAGGGTATAACTTTACCACAAAATTCAACATATTGACATTACATGATAACCAATGCTTCCACTCAGTCTTTTTGCCACTCAGTGGGTGGAGCTGCACTCACGCCAGCTGACGGTGACGTCACATGCATACCCTCTATAGCAGGGATAGGCAACGTCGGTCCTGGAGTGCCACTGTCCTGCAGAGTTTAGCTCTAACCCTAATCAAACACACCTGAACAAGCTAATCAAGGTCTTCAGGATTACTAAGGCTACAGACATGTGAGTTTTTTTTCAGGGTTGGAGCTAAACTCTGCAGGACATCGGCACTCCAGGACCAACGTTGCCTACCCCTGCTCTATAGTGATGCTTGATTGGTGCGTGCAGGTGCAGGTGATTAGAACTCTGGTGATTCGGAACATGTGGGAAGATTTGAGGGATCTGGTCAGTGTTGCCAATTTAGCTACTTTGTAGCTAGATTTAGCGACTTCCCCGCCCCTTTTGAGACTTTTTTCAAAAGTTTAGGGACAAATATAGCAACTTCTTGGACAAACCTTATCTAAGTTCTCATCTTGCCCACTGATCTACGTTCATCTTTATATAGATCAGTGAATTTGCCATTGTGATGTCATCTAGGGACATTTAGCTACCAGTTTTAGCTACTTTCAATTGAAAGCAGTTGGCAACACTGGATCTGGTGCAGATAATGGAACTGACTCTCTAGCTGTGTCCCAAACTGAAGTGCATGGACTCCGGAGTGCGCATTTGAAGTGCGATTGCGTCACAGCGGCACGACGAAGGCTGTCCCAAACTGAAGTGTGTTCAGTAGTAGTTTTTAAGAGGTTGAGAGTAACGTCCACTGACGTCCTTTATATTTTATGTGAATTTCCAAAACTCTGCTGCCAAGATGTAACATATCTCGCGATTTTTGCAAAATCCCGCGATATGATAGATTATCTCTTGAGAGAGCGTTAACGCATTTTCCCGTTTCTTCAAAAGATCACAAGGAGAGGACTTGAGGAGGATGCTTTGTTATATTGCGAAAGTCGACGAATTATTAAAAATCTACTGTTGGGTAAGTACATTTTGTAGTATTTTATTAATGTGGTTGAGTTTTACTTGTTTGACATGAAGGAACCGAAAGAAATGCACACATTGTCAACTGAAATGTAGTTTGAGTTTGGCTAAAATTAGCTAACGCTAGTAGGCTAAAAGTAGGGCCAGTGTGAATAAATCTAGATTTAAATTAAAAGAGAAAAGATAGTCTATGCATGACCTGGCGTTTTATTTGTATCCAAAACGAGGAGATGTGAACATGCAGTGGATGTTTCATTCATACTCGAAGCCTGAGGGCGCTCTCGTGCAGAAAGTCCAAAACAGGACTCATAGAAGTACTTGACATGCCAGCCAGGAAATCCCTAATTTGGGCAAAGGCATCCCGCTATAGCTGAATTTAAAAAAAAAAACCGTGAAGACAGTACATGCACGATTACGACAATATATGGTTTATTTGTGTTTTTCAAGTCATCTCCAGGTAATAAACAAAGTATCTGAATAATGCAGTGCTAACTGAAATAGCATTTATTACAGTAGGCTATAGAAACTATAAAATATATTTTCTACCTTATTCTGTGATAAAAATGGGGTGTGGTATATGAACAAATAATAAAATTGACATTAGGAAAATATAGGAAAAAAATATTACCGAATACAAATTATTGGTTATTGTCCAGCAGTTTATTTGATTTCATAGCCAATTAAAAGTAAGAAAAATAAATAAAACCTGTTAGAACAAAAGAAAAAAAGGCATTATTACATTTTACATTTCTGTCCCCTTCACTTTTGAAATGATGGCTACCCCATAATAAACATAATTTCAGTGTAAGCCATGATTGACAGTCAATACTTGTCACAAAAACTGTGGACATGTACTTGTTACATGATAGATGAGTGGTTATGAAAGTGTATGTTTTAACACAGCATACAATCGCCACGCTGCACATTACTGTTAATTGTAATATTGACCTTGCGTGGAAATTTTTCTGAGGTGAAGTAATCCTGAGTAATTTCTTTAACAGAATCATGTCCAGGCGGCTGTGAGATCTGATCTGATCATCATCCAGTCTGTCTGCAATGACGTGAAGAAACAGAACAAACTGAGACAGACAACGTCTCCAAGATGTTTCAAGAAACCTACCTGCAAAGCTACAGTACTGTTAAAAGTATTAGGCACTTGTGTAAAAATGCTGTCAAATGAGAATGCTGTCAAATTTTCTTTATCAGTTAACTTCTATTACCTAAATTAAATCAACATTTGGTGTGAGCATCCTTTGTGTTTAAAGCAGGTTTTGCCCTCGGTGCACTTGAGCAGAGTTTCTCAGGAGCTTTGCAGATAGGTTTCTTGGATATGCTATTTACCCATCATACATATAAAGTTTAAGACATCATCTAACTCCTTATTGTCAGACATATCAGAACGGAAAAGAACCTTACTGATGGAAATACTACAGAGCTGGTGGATTTATTTATATTAAGCCACGCTGCAGGTGCATGTTATTGTTGATTTTATTATTATTATTATTTTTTTTTTAAATATTCATATTCCCTTTCCTCAGATGCTGTGAAGAGGTGAAGCCCAAATGATACAGACTCAGACATGGATGCAGCAGTGCCAGAACACCTGAAGCATGCTCCAGGAAGTGCTGGGGCTTGTGGATATAAAAAATTAGCCATAAACAACTTTCACAAACTCTAAAAACATTTACACATGTGTTAACCATTATACAGTATTTTTGTTGTTTACTTGTTTGATAAAAATAAAGAAAAAAAAGGTATTATTACATTTTACATTTCTGTCCCCTTCACTTCTGAAATGATGGCTACGCCATAATAAACATAATTTCAGTGTAAGCCATGATTGACAGTCAATACTTGTCACAAAAACTGTGGACATGTACTTGTTACATGATAGATGAGTGGTTATGAAAGTGTATGTTTTAACACAGCATACAATCGCCACGCTGCACATTACTGTTAATTGTAATATTGACCTTGCGTGGAAATTTTTCTGAGGTGAACCCTTGGTGCACTTGAGCAGAGTTTCTCAGGAGCTTTGCAGATAGGTTTCTTGGATATGCTATTTACCCATCATACATATAAAGTTTAAGACATCATCTAACTCCTTATTGTCAGACATATCAGAACGGAAAAGAACCTTACTGATGGAAATACTACAGAGCTGGTGGATTTATTTATATTTATTACTTTCTTCTTTTAGAATCTTTAGTTCACCTAACCTGCATGTCTTGGGACCCAGAGCAAAGCCACGCTGACACAGGAAGAACATGCAGAAAGGCCTCCCGTCGGGACCCTTGAACCCAGCTGCTTAAGCATGAATTGTGAGTTTTCATGATGTCACTATAGATTGGATTTGAGTGCTGTTTTCAATTAATTAATTTGAAAATTCTATAATATTCTAATTCTATTCTTTAAAAAATGGTCCCTTTTAGACTTGCACTCTATTCATTTACTGCTTGTTTTCTTTTAAAAAATGTAACACTAGTTTTTCTAATCTTTTTGTATTCTTTTTGTTTTCTTTTTATTTATTATACAATTAACAAAAGCAAAAAAGGCATCTAAAACTAGCTTGCTCTATTTTTTTACTATTCTATCAGTTTTCTTTTTATTTATTATATAATTTTTAAATAATTACTACGTGTACTGCATTGAGCTAACTGAGACTTGTTATAGCACTTGCATATCATTGCTCTTTTGTTAATTCTCTAAAAGACCACCTGTCTTTATCAGAAGTGTCCTGTTAACTTTCACAGAGTTACACCTAATTAAGGGTCTTTCTCAAGGACACCACAGTGGTATTGATGAGGGAGGGGACAAATTGCTGTTTTTTCACTAATCTAACACACATTTAACGCAGATCATCTATTATTTACACAAGATTATTCTAGAGTAAAATAACATGTAATACATGTTGATTACCTTTTTCTAATGCTTCATTTATGAAACGGACGCAAAATCTTGTTCCATTGTATTTTAAATTTAGTTGTAGGACCTTAAAGACATTTTCAAAATAAGCAGGTGCATGTTATTGTTGATTTTATTATTAATATAAAAAAAAAAAATCATATTCTCTTTCCTCAGATGCTGTGAACAGGTGAATTTGTACTGCCACAGCTCTGACTTCCATGCATCAATGGTGGAACACATGAATCTCACTCCTGGAAGAGCTGGTGTTTGTGGACCAAGAAAATGAGAGAAAACATTTTTTTTTTTTTTTTTTTGAAAGACTCTAAAAAATAGTTACATATGTATTCACTGTGCTCCTGTAATTTTGTTATTTTCTTGTTTGACTAATGGCTGCTTAACATTAATGTAAAAATGTTAGAGAAAATGCCATTGCCACAGACTTAACCACATTCTAATATTTTTATTTTCTTGTTTGAATAGTAGCTGTTTAACAAATGGAATACATTTTTTAAAAATGTAGTATTCACAATGAAATATGTTGTGCTAAATTAGAACACTCTTCTTTTTACTTTAGTCCACAAGTGTGTTATTGTTTGTGATACACGTGATTAGAACGTTTTATAGACATTCAGATCTGACTGGACCGATTTTGGACCTTTTTAGAACATTTGTCAAGTTCAGATGTGCCTTTCACGATGTTGCACAATGGGTGTGTGATTATTTTATATGCAGGCTTATACTTAAATTATGCAGCAACACATTATAAACATCCAGACGATGACACATTTAGACGTCCTGGGACGCGCAGAAAAGACGTGGAATTTACGGCCAGATGATGTCAAAGACGTCCGTTCAACTTTCATTTTGGAACTATTTTTCAACCATGACGGGACGTGACGGAGGGACGTCTTTTCAACGGTCATTAAACGTCCAAATGTTTGCTGGGAAGTTTCATATAATAAAGCAAATCTATCAGTTTTACTTAAGTACTACAACTGTGGCTTTAAATCGTAATAGCTGTTTTTATATATCATCAAATATCACGGATCTGTGGCAGCACAGCTGTCAAGCGTAGCCTAGAGCAATTGAGAAACAGAGTTGCGACATGCTTCGATCTCGCCGCCATGTGGTCACGTGGTTCATGGAGCTCACGATAGTTCCGAACAACTTGTGCTGTGAATGGGTTTGAGAAGGTTAGACAGCAGTTTCACTATATTTGCAGCAATTTCTAGTAAATATTAAAGGGGTCATATGATGCTTTTTTAAAGATCATTATTGTGTGTATTTGGTGTAACAGAATATGTTGACATGCTTTAATGTTCAAAAAACACATTATTTTTCAAATACTGTACATTATTGTAGGTCCTCTATGCCCCGCCTCTCTCAAACGCTTCGTTTTCTACAAAGTCCCTCCTTCCGACAAGCGCAGTCTGCTCTGATTGGCCAGCTGACCCAGTGCATTGTGATTGGCCGAACACTGCAAGCACTCATCGGAAATGTCTTGAAATCGCATCATATGACCCCTTTAAGGCATAATGTGCATTAATTACTAAGCTGACTACGCTTTACAGTAGCATTTTATTCTAGGGAGTGATTAAGAGACAGCCTTAATATGTTCTCATACTCCTTGGCAGTCAAAAGTCACTGAACACATTAAGTGTAACTTTTTATTAATCTTTTAGTTCAGTAATATTTAGCTAATATATTGAGGAGATTTTTGATACTAAATAATGTGCAATAAGCACCAGCCTAACTCGCTCGTCTCTCCCGCATTAACCCTATAACTGCTGGTGTTATGGATCAACTGGGGATCGTGTTAACTGGGGACATGCACGTGCACGCAATAGTTTTACCCGAGTTTCCAGCAGATGTTAGACCTCCACAGATTCGTCACAGGGAATTTTCAACTAAACAGAATTCAAAGCTTTCTACATTATTTGTGAATGTTTGTATCATTATTGGACTCTGTTGTTTCCCCTGTCGATGTCCCAATGTATCAGACTCCGTTTAAGGGAAGTTTTAATGTGTTTTCATGTTGCGTCACGCCCAGATTATTTTGTTTAGGCTACATTCGTTTCAATGGATTTTTTTTTCTAATGACAATTGTACATGCATTAAATAAGGTGCTTACTTTGTTTCTTTGCAACGCGTGTGTAGGCAGTTGTTCAAAAATATTCCTTAAATTTGTGTCAATGTAATTTGAGCAGCAATATTGCTGTGGTTAAAGGTACATGTCAAGCATTTCATTTTCTTTCTTTCTTTCTTTCTTTTTTTTTATATTGCTAAAGAATGAGTAATAATCAAGCTATTGTTTTGCATTATGCATATAATTTCAAATTAGTGACACACAAGGTGTTGAAGCAAATTCACAAAAGAACTTTTACCTTTTAACAATACATAGCTTCAAAGCAGCTTTACATAAAATGCATGTTTCTTTTACTATGAAGAGAAATCTGTTGTCAGAAATGACTGTCGATATTGCAGAAATGTACAGTTTTATAATAGAGGTCTGTCAAGTCAAGTGAGGTCACCTTTATTTATATAGCGCTTTATACGATACTGATTGTGTCAAAGGAGCTTCACAGTGTTAAATACGGAAATAGTGTGTCAATAATGCAAACAAAATTCAATTCTGCAGTAAAGCAGCTCTAAAATGAGGACAATAGTCAACAGTCAATTTCTCAGTTAAAGTCAATTCATCGTTGATTCAGTAATGCCATCCTCCTGCTCAGTTCAGTTGTGCTTTGCAGGGGATCTGTCTCTAGGGCACATCTAGTTAACATGGTCTCCGCTGACATTCAGAGCTGTTGTACTCGTCTCTAGGTGCTGATCCACCATCTGGTCTGGATACAGACTTGATCTTGGTTAGTTAACATCATTCAGTTAAGCCCAAACATGTTAAGACAATGATTTACATATTGTGATCACAATGATTACAATATAAGGATAATTTTGCAGTTCTGCATGTTGATTCAGAGTTGGGATCATCTGAAGTTCTTGCAGGGGTTGTTGTCATCTCTTCACAGGTGTTCGGGTCATAAAGTCTTCACAAAGGCTGAATCCAAATGTTCGTGAGGTTGTTACCACTGAAATTAAGATAACTGGCATAATTCAAAGTTATATTACGTATAAAGAGGCCCACACTCACTATTTATAAAACTGACATACTTTTGTGTCATATTTTCAGTTCAAGAAGTCTGCAATAAAGTAAATAATGAAGCTTTTCCTATTATAATTAATGTTTGGGAGAGAGGTATCATATTTGTGTGAGATGCCAAATGAGTATGTATGTAATATTAGCCATATATGTAATAATTCATCACAGTATCATATGTTCTGCCTATGTCAGTCATGAAAAAGTTGTGGCTGCTGAGTGATTGTCACAGGACTTTCATACAAAAGACAGCAATGAAACTAGAAAAAGAACCTACGAGTCAGTAAGAAAGATCCTACAGCATGGTTCACTTTTAATAAACACTTGTCAAACACCTTGTCACCTTAAAAATGTAAACACGCCATACATGTGACATATATCGCTCATACAAATTGTGGAAAAAATGCCTTCCTGTGTTCATCACACATACAGTATTAAAGAGTTTGGCTTTGAATCCTGCACTGCTCATAACATGTTTTCTACGGTCGGAAACACAAGTAGTCTGGCAAGAGACCAGTAGGCCTAATGAAAAGCAGGAGTCATGAACTCAAGAGTTTACTTTAGACAAAGTTTTCTCTACATGTTCAATGACAGACAACAGATTCACAACATTTAGCTAAATTCAAGCACCTAACTGAGCATAATGTACAGTACAATACAGACAC